CCTAAATAACTAGACCCTAACTGACACGGAAATGGTCAAACCCCCCTAAACCCTAAACTTTTTTTTTTCTCGGTTTAAATTTTTTTAAACCAATTAGGCTAGGTCTCATCTCGTAAACGAGACCCAAGCCTAATTGGTTTAAAAAAATTTATAAGGTTAATCATGTTACGGCACAAATTAGGCCCTAACCGACACGGAAATACTTAAACTCCCCTAAACCGTAAACCCTAACATCTAGACCCTAACCGACACAGAAATGGTCAAAACTCCCTAAACCCTATACGTACTATTTTTTTTTTCTTGGTTTGACCTAATTGGTTTAAAAAAATTTATAAGGTTAATTGTGTTACGGCACAAACTAGGCCCTAACCGACACTGAAATTCTTAAACCCCTCTAAACCCTAAACCCTATATAACTATACCCTAACCGACACGAAAATGGTCAAACCCACCTAAACCCTAAACATAAAAATTTTTTTCTTGGTTTAAACCTTAGCTTAATTGGTTTAAAAAATTTATAAAGTTAATCGGGTTACGACACAAACTAGGTTCTAACCGACACGAAAATTCTTAAACCCCCTAAACCCTAAAACCCTAAACCCTGAACAACTAGACCCTAACCGACACAGAAATGGTCAAAACCCCCTAAACCCTAAACATACTATTTTTTTTTCTTAGTTTAAATTTTTGTAAAGCAATTAGAACCCTAGCCTAATTGGTTTAAAAAAATTTATAAGGCTAATCGTGTTACGGTACAAACTGGGCCCTAACCGATACAAAAATGGTCAAACCCACCTAAACCCTAAACATACTAATTTTTTTTTTCTTGGTTTAAACCTTAGCCTAATTGGTTTAAAAAAAATTATAAGGTTAATCTGGTAACGGCATAAACTAGGCCCTACTCGACACGAAAAATGCTTAAACCCCCCCAAACCCTAAACAACCAAACCCTAACCGATACAGAAATGGTCAAACCCCCATAAACCCTAAACATACTATTTTTTTTTCTAGGTTTAAATTTTTTAAAACCAATTAGGCTATTGTTTATTAAGTTTTTGGGTTTAAAAATTTTCTTTGATCTTCAAATGATTTTATTTCATATCCGTAAATAATTAGACCAAGTGTCTTATATCATTTTGATAGTACTCGACAAAATTTATCCAATAAGATCCCTCATTAATATGTTTTTCGAAACTTAAAAAATTTATTAAATGACCTTGGTCTTCCTAAAAGACCACCTGAGTATTTTGTGAAAACAGTTTTGTCTTTTTATTTGTTGTTGTAGAGATCACGGGGAATACATAAAAGTTAAGACCTACAACAACAAATAAAAAGACAAAACTGTTTTCATAAAATACTCAGGAGCAACAAGTAAGAGCAGGGTGTCTTTTAGGAAGACCAATGTCATTTAATAAATTTTTTAAGTTTCGAAAAACATATTAATGAGGGATCTTATTGGATAGATTTTGTCGAGTACTATCAAAATGATATAAGACACTTGGTCTAATTATTTACGGATTATGAAATAAAATCATTTGAAGATCAAAGAAAATTTTTAAACCCAAAAACTTAATAAACAAAAAAATAAATAAAAATTCTGCACTTGGACGCACAGATACAAGCTTCACGCTGCGCAATAGCGCATGAATATTACGCACTATTAAGTGCAGCACTTCATGCACAACGTATAATTTCTGATCATAAAGACATGGAACACTGTTCCTTTCATCGACTAACTAATAATCACTAACATATGCAGCTCGTATGATTAAGTTTTGTGCTTGCATAGAGCCTTGGTAGTCTCTTCGGCTTGATATGCTCCCGCTAAACTATACAAAAAAAGGCCCCCCAAAAAAAGTGCATTATGAAGTTGAGAGACTAGGATATAAGAGCAACAAGAAACGATGCGAAAAATTTTACGGTGGCTTTGGCATCGTTGATTTTCTAGAAATACACAGAGACTTAGTTTTGTGTCAAATTAAGCAATATTCATGATTACAAATTGGATGAACTATGCAGTGGCACAATATATAAAGAGATTAAGGTGAGAAAAAAAGGAGCTGGGCATCTTTTACACTTCATGAAAACTGGACATTCATTTAGCACGATAAATAAGCTTATTTTTTCCAAATTAATACTGTTGATTGCGATCATGCCATCAATCAGATAATCAACGTGAGACTCAATTTCATAATTCCAACCATTAATTTTTGGGGATGTTTTTACTTTTAAATTTAGAGAGGAACCTGGACAATTTTCGTATGGATGATGCATTGTGCTTTTGAAAGTTGGCCATTGGAAATCAGATCAGATCCGATTAGATAATAATTAGGGGGATTTATGAATCAATCAAAGCATCAACCTTACATTTTGGAAAGTCACTCAATTATAGATTTATTTACCTAAGGTTAAGGAGGTTTATAAGTAAATAAGTAAAAATTAATTACCTAAAAAAATTTACTGTATCTAATTGATCAATCCAATACGCGAAATGTGTCCGAAAAATGAATTGTTTATATTTTATATATATATACTAGATGTTATACCCGTGCGATGCACGGGATTAATTAAAACAATCCAAATTTGGAGGATTTTTACACAATTAAACTAAGTTTTATTTTGAAGATTTACAAGAAAATTATACCTAGGATTTTTGTTGATGTGGCACTCTAAGAGTAAATATTGTTTTCTCTCTCTGGTTTCTCTATTAGAACTAGTGATGTCTGGTCGCGCAATGCGCGACTCTGGCCCAGTCTATCTGTAGATCTTAGAAATGTTTATATTTGAAAAAAAAATAAAATTTTGTATTTGGAGCTATATATTTTAGAAATGTTTGAAGGATTTAGAAATGTTTTATAAGTGTGATCATAGAAATATTTGTATTTCACAAAAAAAAAAAAAAAATTGTATTTTGCCATGTATGTTTTAGAAATATTTTATAAGTGTTACTTATTAAATATAAATAGACTTAAACGAATATATGTGTTGAAGTAAATGTTAGAAAAAATATAAAAGTATCCTAGTAAATTTAAATATTAGTAAGATGATATTGATGTTCTCCATTGGTCGTACCAAATCAATACTTAGTTTTGGAGATTTTTAATAGCTTTGTGATAAGCTTCATCCGAAGGGTATACGCTTAAAACAAAATTGACACTTTGTAACAAAAACATAATTGATCAATTCAATTTAGACTCCATAATTAAGAAAAGAAAACCACTCTAATTGAATGAAACATAAAGAAAAAATTAAAAAAAAAAACGTGTCACGTAAAGTGCAAAGGGGGATTTAGTAATTTAGCTATGGTTAGACAAAAGGACAATTTAATACTTTCCTCATGTCACGTGGCAATCATAGGAGGTGTTTGAAAGGGGAGTTTTTATAGTAACTTAATTATGGTTAGACAAAAAGGCAATTTAGTACTTTCCGCATGTCACGTGACAATCATAGGGGTGTTTGAAAGGAACATCATTCCTTCCCACCCAATACAAAATCATACAAAAATCATACAAAATACTATAAAAAAGTGGGATAAAAAAAAAGAACTCACCACCATATAAATTAGTGCGATCATGGTGCGTAGTCCTATTGTAAAAAGTGAGATAAATTAGTAGGACTGTATTGCCGGAGAGTTTGACCTCAGTACAAAATACTATTACTTCTACTCTAAAAAAAAAGAGTGGGCTCTATACAAAATACTATTGTTTTCCTTTCGGTCAAACATCAGCCGATGAAAACATTTCTATTTGGACTGTATTCACTTACTGGACCCTAAGCCCAAAATATTACCCAAAATATTCCGGTACTGGAAGAGTTGTTTTATTTTTTGCCTAACATTGCTGTGTGGCGGACCCTACATCACCATTACTGTAATTTCGCCTAATATTGCTGTGATCGTAAAGCGGCGGCAAAGGGCGGAGGTCCGGCGAGTCAAATTTTCTCGAATTCGCAGTACTGCTTTCGTTGCCGGTGCTACTGCCATGTGGGTGTTGTTGGTGCATAACACTATTGTCAATGGCTCTATGAGTATTCACCAAAGTGCCCAAGTATAGAAACTCCAAGCTCATTTGCGACGACCTCTGAAGCTTCGGAACTGAGTAATTCATTCCCATACTTGGAAAAGTAACCAAACCGAAAGAAATGAATTGAAAATGAGATTCAATTGAAGAAATCAATGAAAGCTTATGAATTAAGGTAGGATTCAATTGAATTCTGTTACAATAGATGCCTATAGAAGGTTTGTTTCCCATTCTATGTTAAAATAGATGGAAGTGGCGATTTGGGCTCTGGCACGAGAGAAAATGGTTTGCGATGGAGGTGCCCGAGCAAGGCGGGGTGGTGGTGGAAGCGGCAGTTTACCTGCGATGGACGACGGCAATTTGATTATGAGAGCGTGCAAGATTTTGGAAGAAGAATCGAAAATGAAAGGGGCTGAAGAGCAATCTCATAAGTTGTGGAATAAGAAGTAATATAATTTACTCTTCTATACTGTAATGGAGGAGTGGGAATTTGAAAGAGGGAAGAAAACAGAAGAGTACGTGGTGTGCATTCTGGAGGGCATTATGGAAATCTGTTAATTTCTTAATACCAATTAATAGTAATTAATGAGGTGGAAATGTCACGTGCCAATTAAAGGAAAGCTCTTTAAAGTGTGATTTTTGTTTCTTATATAGTAAGATATACTATAGAATAGATAGATAGATAGATAGATGGATATATATATATATATATATATATATATATATATAATAGTATTGTTTTATGTACGATTCACAAAGTTGTGGACTATTCATTTATTTATTTTAGACAGAAATTGCACTTTTTGAATATTAGATGGACTTTGAAGGAATTCAGTGAACTTTGAGTGAGTGATTATACTATAGAATAGATAGATAGATAGATAGATAGATAGATGGATATATATATATATATATATATATATATATAGAATAGTATTGTTTTATGTACGATTCACAAAGTTGTGGACTATTCATTTATTTATTTTAGACAGAAATTGCACTTTTTGAATATTAGATGGACTTTGAAGGAATTCAGTGAACTTTGAGTGAGTGATGATTTTGGTAATACTTGGGATTCTAAAAAGCACTAAACGTACTGTGTTATCTTGAATGTAGAAACTTCTCAGTCTGTTGGGTTCCTCAAAAAATGCTCCCAGAAGAAGAAGAAGAAGGATCATCGTCTTTCTCCAAAGCATCCTCACAGCTGATGCCAAAACCAACCTCTGAACTCAAATCTCTTCTTCCCTCTTCACCTCATGATCCATCAGATCGTTCACCATCGGAATCCTATTCCGATGAATTACAAACCCCAAGCCTCGACGGCGACGACAATCCCGATTCATCAATAGTATCATCAAATGTAATAGCCGAGAATCAAGATCTGCTGACCCGAATCCTAGTTCATTTACCGACGAAGTCCCTCATTCGTTTCCAATCTGTCGCTAAGAGCTGGCTTTCAATCATTTCTGACCCCATTTTCCGGCGGCTGCGGCGGGGGCATAACGGCGCTTACTTTTTGACTCGATCGGGTTTAAACGGTAAGCCGGAGGTTAATTCCGTTTCTGTTGATGAAGGGTATGTAAATCCTATGAATGACATTGTTTTGCATATTAGAAATTCCTTTGGTGTGAATCGAATTCTGGGATTTCATTCATGTAATGGGTTAGTGGTACTTGCTTTAAACACCAATGATGCTGATGCTCCGTTAAACTTTGTTGTGTATAACCCGACTACTCGTCGCCGGAGGCTTATACCAACGCTTTTTGTTCATGATATTCGTGATGAGATGGGGGTTCCTTTTGATGATTTGTTAGATTGTCTTGACAACGACCCTGAAACTAATGACCCTCTTCCGCCACTCATTTCCCCTGTAGCTCCTATCAATTTTATTGCTCTGAATATTGCATTTGATCCTCTGCAATCCCACCACTATGAATTAGTCTACGTTTGGGATGATGGTAATGAACGGATTAGATTCGCTAGCTACGCATCTGAGACAGGGCTTTGGACCAACAGTAAATGGTACCTTGAGGAAGAACGTGAAAATCATAGTATAATTTATTTTGAAAAGGGTGTATTTTGGAATGGAGAACTTTTTTGGGTTGATTCATGCTGGGACCTTTATTCCTTTGATTTTGAAACTAAAGATGGGGGAAGTATCGATGCCTCATTTCCACGTGGTCGTGGCTTTGATGAACGGGGATATCACATGTGCCCTGATATTCTGTTTTTCGGGGTCTCTGGGGAGAACTTATGTCTTATCGCATTAATGGATCTTCATCCATTGCTATTTGAAGTCTACAGTTTCGAGTTGGACCATTCAAGATGGAATTTGATGCATCGTGTCTGCTTCTCTGATCTTACAGTTTTCTATCCATCAATGGTAGTTAAGAAGCTTATTCCTTTTTCGGATCAGTGGCATTGCAGCTTCTCTTTTCTTAGTTTCCTCGTGGGTGAGGAACTAAAACAATCTAAGTGGTTGATATCAGCTCCTGGTAAAGTTCTTTCCTGTAATGGGCACCCCATGACTGTGAAAGAGATCATGGTTACCGAGAATTCTGAAGAGGCACCCATTTATGAGTGGAAGGAAACGTATGAGCACATTGAGACCTTTGTTTCTGTTTGATTACTCTGCATTATATCATCTACAAGGTGTCATTTTGATTTCTAGCGAAAGATATTTTGTGTAGTTACTCCTTGATTGTCCAGTTTGTAATTTCATTTCTAGTATAATTTATAATTGAAAATCCAAACAAGACAATCATTTTGGCATAGCAGGAGTATGCAAGGTGTATGATGTCTAAAGGTGGCCGTTTAATTATGTAACTTACCTTATGATATTTCTTTGAATAGTAAGATGTAGATTCAGAAGTTCGCTGATATCTGATATCTGCTTTATTGGTTAGTGCTTTTAACCTCGCTGATATCTGCTTTTTATCACTGATTTTGTTTGCAGTAGATGGGTAAAGGCTAGCTAGGGCTTCTTTATCCTTGTGCACTAATCTTTGGTTTCTGAAATAAAAGTGATCATCCACCCCGCCCCGCCAAAAAAAAAGGGAAAAAGAGCAACATATGCAACAAATTAGCATTTAAATCTGTAGTAGAAATATAGAACATTGCTTTTGTAAACGGTTGGTATCACTTTCTGATAAATTGTATGCGAGTTTTTTTTCATAAATAACTTATTTCTCAAGATCATGTACCAAAGTAACCCGCTTTGCAAATTTAATACCTCAAAAAACATTTCATAATGCCACAGAATCTAAATAAACTAACTGAATAGAACTTTCAGGCCCACTTTCCCAATTGCCATCGTCTAAGAAAAGAAAGCACGTCCATCGATATGAGCAGCTAATCAATTCGGGCGTTCACCTCCGCATACATGATCACCATTCAAGATGAATACGTCTACCTCCACCTAGGAATTGGAGTGAATTTTTTTTGAGCGCCCGACAATAGAAATCAATTCTAAATTCAGCATATTTGCATAAATTTTTTAAAAAATGCATTGTTGATGAATGGCAAAATGCCCTTCTTGTGATTGAATGATTTTGTGTTGTACATTTTTGGTGACGGGAGATTTTGCTATTTTGAAGGATTTATCACTATATACTGAGCCGGTAAATTAATACTAGAGTTTTAGACTAATGGTTACATCAACTAATATAGACTCTTGTTCTTCTATATTATGGCATATTGTTGATTAGGAAGAAATACTTAATGTTCTCGGTCTCTTGCCATGAAATTAATGATTTCATGGTTTTATTAGAGATGGCCGGAAAAAATGTTTAATCTTGCATATACAAGGATACAATGTAATAGTATAGGTATCTCATAATTAATAACAAGTACCATTTAAAAAAGAAAAAAAACCTAGAGCGGCAGCTCTAGTAAGAGGCCGATGATGTTATATTTTCTACAGGTGGCTTATTAGATCTGTGTAGCAGCGTATACGTTCTTTTAAGGAATCTGATGTGAAAATAGGTTATTTAGAGATATAGTTTCACAAAATTCATTGTATTATACTAAGAGAGAAATCAGAGAGAGGTTTTAAAAAGAGTTTTCACGTTGACACGTAGGATAAAATCCTATGTAGCATTTTTATAGAAAATCTCACAAAAAAAAATTTTTTATGCAATTACACTACAAGTCTTTGGGGATTTATGAAAATAAATTTTATCACACCTAATTTTATAGTAATGGCCGGTTAATTGAATAAATATTATTTTGAAAATAAATTATAAACAATTAAAATTAATCAATATCAATCAATTAACATTAATACTTAATTAATGTTTTAATAACCAATATGGAATGATTTGCCACGATTTCCGAAAATAGTCATTTCCATTAAAAAACATAATCTCTAAATAAGAATAGAAAATAAGTAGCATTAATTAATTGATTAATTTGTATTATAAGGAGATCATGTAGTATTAGTTATCCTGATAATTTTCTTTGGATTTATATAGAAAGTATATTCGATTAATTATTATAATGAGGAGAATATGTATTCTTTGTTTTTTGCAGTGATAATTATAATAAGAAACAATAATTATCATAATTGTGCTGGATTATTTCACACGATTACCGAAACTAAATTTGGAACTAATTTGTTTTCATAAAAAAAATTATGTAGTATTAGTTATCCCGATATCTCTTCTTTGGGTTTATATAGAAAGTATATTCGATTAATAATTATAATAATGAGGAGATGATGTATTCTTTGTTTTTTGCGGTGATAATCTATAGTATTATAATAAGAGAGAAATCAGAGAGAAAAAATATAAAAGATTTCTAAAAATGCCAATCCTATGTGTCATTTTTTCAAATATCCTCTCAAAAAAATACTAAATGAAATTATGCACAAGTCCTCTTATTACAAAAAAATAAATAAAATAAAAGGGCAAAATTTCCCCAAAAAAACTATTATTACATTCCTGCAAAATCTTGGTTCATAATAAATTTTAAAATTTGAAATAATTTATTATCATTATAAGCATTAAATGTGTTATTCTTTTACATAGTTTTTTTTTCTTTGATTATAAGATTAATTCCCACAAATTTAGGTATTTTAAATCAAATTACTTATTTGACTAATTAATTATTAATAAATAGTAAATCATATCTCTAAATTTTTGGCCAAAATAAAACATCAAAAAAAAAAGAGAGAGAGTAAACCTCAAAACAAGTCATCAACCTTTAATATATTTCCACTCTATGTCATCAATTAAATTTATTTGTAACACAGGTTACCTTACTAAATTTTTAATCCATTTCAGATTATTCTGTTAATTTTGGCCGTTAAATAGTGACGAAAAACCATTTTTCACATGTTTTTAGGTTTAGGGGTATTTTTGTCATTTCTTTATTTTTTTATTTTTTAATCTTTTAATTTTTTTTTGGTTTTTTTTTTTTTATAATTCTTCTTCTTATACTTCCTAACTTGTATATACTGGTACTATAATTCTAAATTTTTAAAGTTTATTTTCCTTTTGTATAACTTCTAGATTATAAATTTTTTTTAAAAAAAATTCAGAAATGAAGAAGAAAAATTCGAGTTAAAGTAAACATGGAAATAAATAATTTACCATTTAAAAAAAAGAAAAATTAAAATAATTAACTAAGACAAGTTGTTTCTTCTAGGTTATTTAATTTTTTTCAACTCGATTTAATTATTTAATTATTAATTTTCATGTTTCTTATTCCCTTTTTTTTAATAATCTACAAGTTAATATACAAATGACAAATGAATTTTTAAAAATTAATTTGTTTGTCATTTATATCTTAACTTCTAGATTATAAAAAAAGGAATAAGAAAAGTAAAAATTAATAATTAAATAATTCAATCGAGTTAAAAAAATTAAATAACCTAGAAGAAACAACTTATCTTAGCTAATTTTTTTAGTTTTTATTTTTTTTAAACTGGTAAATAATTAATTTTCATGTTTACTTTAACTCGAGTTTTCCTTCTTCATTTCTTAAATTTTTTTTAAAAAATTTTATAATCTAGAAGTTAAAATACAAAAAGAAAATAAATTTTTAAAATTTAGAATTATACTACTAGTGTATACAAGTTAGGAAGTATAAGAAGAAGAATTGTAAAAGAAATTTTTTTTTAAAAGATTAAAAAGTAAAAAAAATAATAAAATGACAAAAATACCCTTGAACCCAAAAGCATGTGAAAAATAGATTTCCGTCACTATTTAACGGCCAAAATTAACAGAATAATCTGAAATGGATTAAAACTTTAGTAAGGTAACCTGTGTTACTAATAAATTTAATTGATGATCTAGAGTAGAAATATATTAAAGGTTGATGACTTGTTTTGAAGTTCACTAAAAAAAAAACCGTCAACAAATTCGTAAAGGAAGTCCGAATTTGTTTGAAACATTAATTCCTAACTTTAGGCATTTAAAAGGATTGCAAACTTTAGATTAAAAAAAAAATCAGATTCTTAAAATCTCTCCATTCAAACTGTATCTCTCTCGCTCTCCCTAATGCCTAATAATGGCATATTGACATTATAAAAGTTGGACACACGAGACTAAAGGAACTCCTCGCCTTTCTCCTGTCGTCTAATTGTTCTCTCTTTTTCTGCAGAACAATTCCCGATCTTCGTTACAGTATGATTTCATCAACTTCTTCGCCTGCTCTCAAGAAAAGAAAAGGTATCTCAATGATGGAGCATCTCTATTTTTGGTCTTAAATAATTACATTTTCCTGTTTATTAATCTATACATGTTTATTCCAATATGTTAATTTATATTAAAGTTAAGAGTGAACTTCAAAACGAGTCATTGAATTATTAGGTAATTCCAATACATGTCATCAATTAAATTTATTTGTATAACATGTCACCTTACTAAGCAAAATATTCATCCAAGATCATTCTATTAATTTTGGCCGTTAAATAGTGACGGAAATCCATTTTTCACATGTTTTTAGGTTCAGTGGTATTTTTGTTATTTTGTTATTTTTAAATTTTTATCTTTTTGAAAAAAATTATTTTTTTACTTTTTTTAACAATTTTTTTTCTTATACTTTCAAACTGGTATATACTAGTAGTATAATTCTAAATTTCAAAAATTTATTTTACTTTTGTATTTTAATTTCTAGATTGCAAAATTTTTTAAAAAAATTTAAGAAATGAAGAAGAAAAATTGGAGTTAAAGTAAACATGAAAATTAATAGTTTACCATTTTAAACTAAAAAGAAAAACTAAAAGAATTAGCTAAGACAAGTTATTTTTTCTAGGTTATTTAATTATTTTTAACTCGATTTAATCATTTAATTATTAATTTTCACGTTTATTTCTCTTCTTGATTTTTTTTATAAACTAGAAGTTAAAATAAAAATGTCAAATTAATTTTTAAAATTTAATAATTGTACTAGTACTAACATATACAAGTTAGGAAGCAAAAGAAAAAAAATCGTAAAAACATTAATTAAAATATTAATATTTAAACAATATATATAAATTGATGAAATTGCCCCTGAATCCAAAAGCAGGTGAAAAATAGCTTTCTGTCACGATTTAACTCCCAGGTGAATAGCATACTTATTGTATGATTATATTTATTCATTCCTATTTAATAACATAAGCAATTTTTTATTTATGATAATATTTTTTTGTTACAAACTAATAACTTCATTTGTACTAAGAGTATTTAAAATTTAATAAATACTTTTTTTTATAAATGTAAATGATAAATCCCGCACATCGTGCGAGTTTAACATCTAGTAGTTAGTATAGAAAAAACACTCAATTTTATGCAATGAACACACACTTAATTTAACTGAAGGTAAGTATCTTTCTAGCTTCTTTGAAAAAGTATCTTTAATATTTCTCATGTCCTAAAATTATTGTCCAATTTGAA